TGAACTTTCCAGTTAAAATAAGCCAAAGAGTTTCATTTTATTTTCTTAAGATGATCTAAATTAAGGTCCTATTGCTTACAACTGAGGCTCTTGGCTCTTCTCTTAAAGGCACAAACATAGTCATTTGGTAAGAACTTTTTTGCCTGTCCCTGACATGAGTCCTATTTAGCTAGTTTTCCCAGAATAGTTAGTTTAGCCCAAAAGAATATCCCTGATTGAGAGACGGTAGTACCAAGCAGCAATTTAAACCTTGGCGATGAGAATGTAGAAGTCTGACTCCACTGGGGAGAAGCGATGCCACACAGACTAGGTAGTTTTATGTCTCAGATATGGAGGATAGTATGCAACATCTGTTCCCTACCCTCCCTGCATCTTGAACTATGTTAATTCTCAGAGATGTGAGGAACAGAATTTTGATGAAATAAACCTAGGTGACAAATGGCATAGAGTTAAAGAGGACTCCCTTTTTCCTATTCTCCACAAAACCTATTGCCTCCATGGTACTCTCAGGTTTGGCAGCTTCTGTGAATAGTATCTTTTGCTTTTTATTGTGAGAAAAAACAAAACAAAAAAACCACAGTTGGTTAACCCTCTCATTGGTTCTAAAAATCTTTTTCTCTTAGATTTTTCTACTGATAGTTACTTTTTCTATAATTTTACCTCCTAGTACATAGCTGCTTTATCATATTGGCTATAATGAATGTTTCTCAAAAGTTAGAGTAATGCTGGGCATGGTGGTTCCTGCCTATTATCCCATTGCTTTGAAAGGCCAAGGCGAGAAGACTGCTTGAGGTCAGTAGTTCACGATTAACCTGGGCAACATAGTGAGACTCTCTTCTCTAATAAATTTTTAAAAATTAGATTGGTATAGTGCAGTGGCTTTAAGTGTGCCACTGTACTCCAGTCTGAATGACCGAGTGAGACTCTGACTCAAAACAAAACAAAATCCTTGCTCAAATAAATATGATGAAAAAGAGCTATTATAATTTTAATCTTTAATCCATATTTAGACAAGTTAATGGCTAGTTGTGTGTGTGTGTATGTGTGTGTGTTTTATTATAAAGATGTGAGGTACAATTCAGAGTTAGGTATACAAACATTGATTATGCAGGTACCCTTGTTGATGAGGTATACCCCTCCCTCCCCTAGCAGTTTTTAAGATACAGAGGTCTCACTCTGTCGCCCTGGCTAGAGGGCAGTGGCACAACCATAGCTCACTGCACCCTTGAACTCCTGGGCTCAAACCATCCTCCTGCCGAAGCTCCCAAGTAGCTGGGACTAGATACATGCTAATGTTCATTTTTTTGTAGAAAGTGATTTTGCTTTGACGCCCAGGCTTAACTTAGTTTATACATATGTTATCCTTTTGAAAATCCTGATTGGATCCTACTTATCATTTGAATTTAAAAGAACTTGGATAATTGGGTTGAGTTTTTCATACTGTAGGTACAGAGATACAACTGATAATTAAGGTCATTCCAAACTTTACGAATAGTAGTAGACATTTTGAGCATTTGCTAAAAGATGTGCTGATTAATTGGTAGAGTAGACAGAATGTTTTCTTGTCAAGAGGGGTTTTGTTTTTTTTTTGTTTTTTCTGAGTCAGAGTCTCACTCCGTCACCCAGGATGGTGTGCAGTGGCACGCTCACGACCACTGCAGCCTTGACCTGCTGGGTCAGGCAATCCTTCCACGTCAGCCTCCCAAGTAGCTGGAACCACAGGCATGTGCCACCACACCCAGCTAATTTTTTTGATTTATTATGGAGATCCTCATGCCCAGGCAGGTCTTGGATCCGTGGGCCCAGGCAATTCCCTAATCTCGGCCTACCAAAGTGCTAGGATTATAGGCGTGAGTCACCGTGCTCAGTCAAGAAGGGATTTCAGCACTGCCAGTTGTGTCATTCACTGCACAAGCAAACAGTTTTTAAAAAATTAATTTTTTAAACTTTATGGTTATTTTTATTTTAAAGATATGGGGTACAGTTTAGGATTGGGTATACAAGTGGTAATGACCCGTGAAGTTTGGGCCTCCCTTCAGTCCCCACTTCACCTGGTTTGAGATCAGGTTCCCTTATTGATGAAGTGTGCCCCCCGCCCCCAACAGTTTCCCACTGCTGCCAATCCCTTTCTTATAGTATTATGATAATTGTTCAGGGTCTGCTTATGAGTGAAAACAAGTGGTACTCAGTTCTTTGTTTCTGTGATAGATCGCTGAGTACTACAGACCCTAAATTCATCCAAGTTGCTGTGAAGTTCATACAAGCCAAAGGTTTTATACATTTAGTAGAACCACTGAAATAAAAAGTCAGCAAACTTGGGTTCTAGTACATTTTATTTGTAATTAACCACATACAAATCACTTATCTATAAAATAACATCAACTCCCTAATTCCTAAAAATATCACAAATCCAAAATTGTTTCCAAGAAAACCTCATTGTGAACCAAGACACTACTATTTAGTCTAAGCTTTAACTCAGGTTGAGAATGACAACGAGATTTTCTTTTATACATCAGTTGCATACCTTAATTCTGCAGATGAGTAATCACATTGAGATAAGCATTATCATGTTTCAACCTTAATGAAGAAAAAGCTATCAACAAGAAAAGAATGGTGAAGAAAACACTGGCCAAAAAAATAACACTACTGAAAAACAGCTTGTATTAAGTGCAATACTTATTAACATCCCTGATATCAAATGAACAGAATTTCAGCCTTAGGCCACTAAAATGTTTGCTCTTTTGGAGGAAGACACATACTGCTAAGGCAAAGATTTTACTTCACTAAAAATGGTATTAAACACAAATGTCTTGTAGATCTTCAAATGGACAATTAAAATGGCTAAGAAAATACTGGTTTTTAATCCTTTTGTGTTTCTCTATCTCCATTTTCGTCTTTTATTTCTCTCAAAAATTCAGTTCCCCATGCCAAAGCACATTCCTCTGTGCTCTGCCAAGGTGTAAGAAATGCCAGCATTCTGTCACTAGAAAACAAACATTGAAAAGGAATTAGCATGTTAATGAATGAATATTATAGAAAGTAATACTAACAGGATAAGGCTGGGTCCAGCGGTGTATGCCTGTAGCTCCAGCTATTTGGAAGGCTGAGGCAGAAGGCTGAGGATACGATGGCCATGAGCGTGCCACTGCACTCCAGCCTGGGCAACAGAGTGAGACTCAACTCAAAAAAAAAAAAAAAATACTAACAGGATATAGAAAAATGTAGACCATAAGCAAGTGGTCATTTATGATGACAACCATTGTGCATTATACTTTCAAGAGGTAAGCACTTACGTTTTAGTGTATTTAACAATGTCAGATTTGTGGAATTTAGTCTCTATTCCTGGACTTCCTCTTACATTATGGTGACAGAAAAATAAAGGTAGAAACATGGTTTACACAGAAACACAAAACATATACAAACACCATGATAAAATAGCCATTTGTATTACTAGATAAATATTTTAGAGAAAAACAGACTTTTTTTTTTTTTTTTTTTAAAGAGATGGGGTCTTGGCCAGGCTCAGTGGCTTAGCCTGTAATCTCAGCACTTTGGGAGGCTGAAGTGAGTGGATAGCCTGAGCCTGCGGCTTCGAGACCAGCCCAGGCAACTTGGTGAGACCTCGTCTCTACAGTAAAATCAAAAATTAGACAGGTGCAGTAACATATGCCTGTAGTTCTGGCTACTTGAAAAGCTGAGGAGGAACGATCGCCAGAGCCCAGTAGGTCAACGCTGGGGTGGGCCATGAGCGTGCCATTGCACTCCAGCCTGGGTGATGAAATAAGACTCCAACTCAAAAAAAAAAAAAAAAGAGAGAGA